TTTAAAAAGGGTTCACCCAAAAATGAAAATTCTGTCATTAATTACTCTCTCATGTCGTTCCAAACCAGTAAGACCTTCATTCATCTTCGGAACACAAATGAAGATATTTGTGATGAAATCTGAGAATGCTTGTAAACAAGGCACAGTGCATGCGTGTTCTACATCAGAACGGCGGCTCCTGCGTCAGCAGCATCACACGTATTCGTCGTGGTACTCTCGTGAACGATGTCCTTACTTTCTTTCTGGGTCTTGAACGTGGTAGTTGTGTTGCTGTCTATGCAGAAAGCTCTTGGATTTCATCAGAAATATCTTAAATTGTGTTCCGAAAATTAACAAAGGTCTTATAGGTTTGGAACGACATGAGGGTGAGTAATTAATGACAGAATTTTCATTTTTGAGTGAACTAACCCTTTAAGTATTTTTTTCTCTTCTTTCCAACTCTGTTCTTTTATTATACATTCCCTTTCCTTTTGTCCTTAGAAGTTTCCCCCCCCCCCTTTCTTTATTCCTTTCTATCTTATATTGTTTCTGTGTCCTGTTTTTTTTCTTGCCAGGTCTCAATAATTGTCTGCATTACACTAAATAACCAGAATATAACAGACACAATTACTTACAAAACATGTCTTGTAAAATCAGTAAGGTCCTTTTCAAGGAAGAGTGGAATAATTTTCTGAAATATAAACATTTAAACAGTGGTTGTGATGACTTGTTTTCATGACATTTGTTCAAACATTAAATGCTGAAAAACGGATTACATAAGACATGATACATTTCATTAAGTTGTACTGTATCGCTCAACATACTTTATGATGCTTGCTCACGTTTATTTCATGTTATAACTAGCAGTAAAGAGGAAGATTGATGCTTGTAATCTAGCTTGTAAACCACTGGCTTGCTAGTACGCTAACTGACGGTTACAGTAATGCCCGTCAGTAAAAACTAATAAAATCTGCCTTTTCTTTTCCTCAAAAACGATAGCACACACTGTGACAATATAGTTTATAAGTAGATCACCAAAAACTTACCTAATCTTGCGGCCACATTTCAAACACTGACTCTGAAGTTCAGTTAGTTGTCTTCTTCTGGTGATGTTTTGTTTAAACCAACCTTCCGCCACCTACTGGTCTAGAGTTATTAGCGCACATAGTGGGATTTAATCCAACAAACTAGATGCTCTTAAGTACTGTTTACTAAAGTTGTTTAGTTTAACTATTGCATCCACCTGAAAGTTCACATAACACAGTGTAATTAAGTAAATTCAACAAATTTGTAAAAATCAGTTATGTTTACTCGCTTTTCTTAAGTAGATTCAGTGATTACTTTTTACAGTGTTGGCACTACCCAACAACCCAGTGTTATCAAAGATCTTTATTCTGCACCATAGATGAGTTTACATATTAGTTAAAAAGGATGTTAGAAATCGTCATCATTTACTCACCCTCATGCCTTTTCAAACCTATATGACTTTCTTTCCTCTGTTGAATACAAAAGAACATATTTTGCAGACTAACAAGGCAGTTTTATAAGTTTTTCTGCAGTTTTATTAACAAGTTATTATTCACTGATTGACTGGCTACAAGACCAGCGGCATCGCTTGGAATTGTGAGCCTCCTCGGTTGAAATCGCATTCTGGGCACCTTCATACCCACGGGCCCATGTTACTCTGTTACTGCCATGCACAAGAGACACATGAACAAACAAAGTTTGTTGTCATCAACATCAGATCTCGCTTGTTGCATCATGTTGAAATGTACAATTTGAGAGCTATTTTGGAGGCAAAGAAGCATTTTTCAACTTACTTTTCTCTGAAGTGTATGTCTGTTTGTGCTGCACTGACAGTACGCACGGGTCACATGAGGGTCTTGACATTGTGTGTGCTGATGGAGCCACAGTTTATGCTCCATTTGATGTGAAGCTGAACGGCAAAGCTGCACCATACAAACAGAACAATGCTATCAATGATGGCATTAACTTGAGCGGAGAAGGTTTGTACTTACATCTTCACATCTGTTTAATGTTCTAAAAGCATTAGTAACAATGTAGCACAACTTACTTTTATAGACTTTCATGTTCGTAGAAAATAAAGTGCTTGCTTCATAAAATACTACTACTATTATAGGACATGTGGAAAAAGATTTCTTACATTAAATTCATAATCTCACAATAATCTCATATCTCCCCACATGATCTTTTTGGCAGGTCTCTGCTTCAAGCTGTTCTATGTTAAGCCGGACAGTTACTCTGGGGCACTGAAGAAAGGGCAGAAGATCGGAACTCTGCTCCCAATGCAGAATGTTTATCCTGGAATCACTTCCCATGTTCACGTTCAAATGTGTGATAAATCAGATCCCACCAAGTACTTCTGATGCTGATGACCACCTGCAACCATTAAACCACTTAAAATCAAAGTCTATCGCATTGAGGAATGTATTGTGCAAATTATTTCATCTTTATTTCTTTATGCTTATATATAAATAAATATAAATATATATAACTGAGTCGTCACATACTGCCCAGCGCTTTGAAATCTAATAATAATGTTACTGCATCGAACCACAGAGAAAGAGAGATTTTCTAATAGTCCATGAGAACATGGTGAAACAGTGCTGATATAAAGAAGCATTTGCTATTTCAGCACATACTTTTAGACACAGTCTAGCTAGCACACAGAGCGACAAATATGTACAATGACTCCAGATAAAGAATTAGGCACTAGAAGAAGTTTATCTTCTTTGAACTTCTATTTATTTTCACTGGGCAGGCAGTAAGGCAGTTACATCCATTGACAATATTTCTCCTTAAACATCCCTTCACAGATACACGGTTGCATTTGATTGTGGAAAGTTATGTAAAGTTGTGGTCTGTAAAACAAATGAATATAATATTTTGTGGTATCAGGATTGGCCACAAGAGGGAAGCAGAGTACATAGAGGAGAACCGACTTGTGTCATAAATTAACATAATTTGTCCTGGTAAACAGCTTGAGAACATTATTAGCATTCTGCATTATAAGTAGAATTGTATTAGATCTTTAGATACATAAATAATAATATTATAATAGCTTTATAATTTAATATATGATATGATTTTATATAATAT